TTTGAAAGGAGCTTTGGAGAAGATCTTAAGGAGGAAACAGGTTATTAGAATAAAAGACTGGGTGGGGAGGATGAGGAGTAAAGAACAAATAATAGATGTGGAATGGAAAAGTTATTGTGATTTAATTTCATTCAGCTGGAACATCGAATTAGAGAATGGGTGAAAAGAAATGGTAAATGGAGGGAGCCTATAAAATTTGAACAAATGGTGCTACAGAAGGAAAAAGAAAATGGGAGTAAAAGAATGAAAGGAATAATAACTAACATTTATAAAATATTAGCAGAAGCAGAGGGTCAACAAGATGTTTTAAATATGCTATGGGAAGTAGATTTCAGAGAAGAAATAAGTAGAAGTGGAAGAACATACAGTATGGAAATAAAAGAATTTTAAAATGTATGTCTAAGAATAAAAGAATTCTTTTACAAATTCATTTTGAGATAGTATTTAACACCAGACAAATTGAATTACATGGATAAAAAAATTTCTAGGATATGTTGGAGATGTGGTCTGGAAGTGGGAATCTACTTTCATATGTTGTAGGTGTGTTAATGTGTATTGAAATTTTGGAGGTTGGTTTTTAAAGAAGTAAATGAAATAATAAAGTTAAATCTAAGACTATGTACTAAAATGGTGTTTTTATCAATATTTGAGAGCAGGCAATGTAATTGGGCAATGAAATATTTGATTTTCAATCTAGTAACTGGCTAAATTAATAATGGCAAAGAAGTGAAGTGTGATCTCCAATTACAGTAAATGAATGCTATAACAAAGTGTGGAATATAGATATTAATAAATTAACATGTAATATTAAAGTAAGAAAAAGGAATGATAAATCCGAATATGTTTAGGGAAGAATTTATATGGGGAGAATTTATTGATTTTGTATTAACAAAAGGGAAGGGTTGTGTACCTTACTTATAACATTGCTTATATCATAGAATCATAGAATCGTCGTAGAGTTGGAAGGGATCTTGGAGGTCTTCTAGTCCAACCCCCTGCCCAAGGCAGGAGACCTCATGCCATCCCGGACAGATGGCTGTCCAATCTTTTCTTGAAAACCTCCAGCGATGGGGCATCCACAACATTGGGAGGCAAGCTGTTCCACTGCTTAATGGTTCTCACCGTCAGGAAATTCCTCCTTATTTCCAGATTGGATCTCCCTCTGATGAGTTTCCACCCATATATCTAGTTAAACCCGCCCCCCCCCAAAAAAATAAAACTTGTTACAGGCAACTACCTCACTTTTTAGCTTGTTCCTTCCCATTGTGCTCTGATGGCTACAGATACTTTTGTCATTACATCATTGTTTAGTGAGTGCTATCAAGCATCTTTCAACTCATGGTAACCCTTCCCAAAGTTTTCTAAGTATAGAAAATGGCCTACTGTTTGTTTCTTCTGGGGATGCTCTGGAAGTGTTTCTAAGTAGCACAATATATATATATTTTTATTTTTTAAAAAGACAATCTAGTTTTTCATGCTTCCTGGATACTGTCAGATAAAACAGAGTCCTCAGCATGACTCTGTGTTAGCCCAAATCCAAAACCATCACAAGTTTCGCACCAGTACATTTCAGATTGTTTTCCTTCATCAGGAACAGCAAACCCAGGAACCGCCCATCCTTCCGCCAGATCCTGCTGCACCTTGACATCGCATCCGCTGATGTGCTGTCTACGCCCCAGGAGACGTACTTCAAATCTCAGGTGGGCTTCCTTCTCAGGGTCTTAGCTGGTCTACAACTTCTTCTCTTACCCCTCTCTTCCTCCTAAGAGTCTAACACAGAGCTTCCTTCTCTTTCACATGAGCCTCTGTGGTGTGTGTGTGTGTTGCGTTACTTTATGTCATCTTGGCCAAAATCCTGTTGCATAGGTCTGCACGTGCAAGCGGGATGACAGTGACAGTGGTAGGAGAAGCAGCACATTGCTGTTGATTCAAGGCTTCCATTTTGGGGAGTACACACTCAATGAAACCAAGTTGCATGCACCTCAGAATGGATAAGAGAACTATTTTTGACCTCATTCCCATTGTACAGGCAAAGTAACTGCGAAAAAGGATTTTGGCCAACATGTTTTCCATCAGGAACAATGCCACGGAGAGATGAAGGGTGCCCTATCATGGTTTCTCATCTGTTTGCAATCTCTACTGTGTTTCCCCAAAAATAAGACAGGGTCTTATATTAATCTTTGCTCCAAAAATGTATTAGGGCTTATTTTTAGGGGATGTTTTATTTTACAGTCATGTCCTCTTCTTCTGGTTGCTGCACAATGGTAAAGGTGCACGGTTTCACTTAACTGGGGCTTATTTTTGGGGTAGGGCTTATATTACAAGCATCCTGAAAAATCAGGCTAGGGCTTATTTTCAGGTTAGGTCTTATTTTCAGGGAAACAGGGTAATGCAAAACCAGCCCAAAAGATTTTGCTGCCGGGGAGAGATCAGCAATTGTACCCTCCTCCTCCCTGCCAGCCGCCCAAGGGAAGGTTATATTCAGGGCCCATCAGTGTATTTTGGCACCTGGACCAAAACAAACAAGCCCACCAGTTCGCTTCCCTGTCAGTGGAAAATAAAAGGTGAGTAACTTAAACAGTAGTGTTCTGCTCTTTCTTAACAGCAGTAATTTGTTATCTGAGGGGACTGCCACACTTTACTTAATAGTAGGGCCAGCCCTGCTCGGATTCCAACAGTTTTCCTGCCTTTTTCCTGGTTGTGTCAAATGGTTAATAAACAGATTTTTCCTAATCTCATCTCACAAGAGCTTTATGCAACAGGAAGGGAAATGATAGGTGTCACTCACTAGGCACTCACTCATTTAGATCTGGCCATTGAGGGGTGTTCTCTGTGTATTACATTGTTAAATTAATATCAAAAGGACAAGGTGCCATTTTTTTTCTTGTTGTCTGTTGGCTTCAATTGTGTGGTTTCAGGATCTAAGGGAGGAGGTTATGTATCTGTCTTCTCTCCCACAGGCTGAGTGGCGGGAAGAGGTGAAACTGCATTTTGAAAAGATCAAATCAGAGGGGACATGTCTACATCGCTTGGAGGAGGAGTTGATCCACCGACGGAGAGAAGAACTCAGGTAAGATAGACAAGGGGGCATTCGTGATGCAGTTGAGAAAGCAAACTGTGCTGCTTATATACCGTCCCATAGTACTCAGACAAGGGGGTATTCGTGATGCAGTTGAGAAAGCAAAGCAAACTGTCCTGCTTATATACTGTCCCATAGTACTTAAATACTCTCTAGACAGTTTACAATTTAATTATGTAGGCTATATATTGCTCCCTCAAGTCTCCAGTTTATCAGTCTCAGAAGGATAGAAGGTTGAGTAAACCTTGAGCCAACTACTTGAGCCCATCAAAGTCAACTCAGTGAACATAGTCCTCACTGCAGTACTGCAGTTTAACCACTGTAATTGGAGGCTCTGAAATTTTTTGCTCAGATATTGTTAATGATGGATGCTTAGAATTGTACGTATTTTGGACCTCCGCTCTACCTTGACATATTGAGAATATCAGGATTCAGGTTTCTAGTCCCCAAGAGCACTTATGTTTATTAGAAGAAGGATCTAAATTAAATAATAAGTAGCAACTGTTGCAAAGTAAATGTTGCTAATTTGCCCTTGTTATTCTTATGGTGTGCCTCAAGTTGCTTCCAATTTATGGCAATCCTATGAATTACTGACCTTCCAAAGAACCTGTCATTAACAACCCTACCTGAGTCTTGCAAACTCAAGGCTGTAGCTTCCTTTATTGGGTCAATCTATCTCATATTTCATTTTCCTCTTTTCCTGCTGCCTTCAACTTTTCCTAGCATTATTGTCTTTTCCAGTGAATCTCGCTGTCTCACAATGCACTCAAAGTATGATAGCCTCAATATTGTCATAGTTGCTTCCAGACAGATTTAAAGCTTTCATGGTCTTTTTGGTTTTTCAGTAGTTCTGCTCTGACATAAATGGATTGACATTTTCATGTCAGCTTTCTTCACTGTGCAGCCTTCATATCTGTATATGGTAATTCAGAAGACCATAGTAATAAACACATTTGCAATAAAATTTATCTATACCTCTCAGTTTCCCTTCAGTCCACAGAATTAATAATTAAGTCAGTGAAAAAAGCATTCATGGGAACCTAAGTACATGAACGTCAGATGTGACAGTGGAACTGTTGTGGATGTAACAGCCTAAGGCAGTGGTTCTTAACCTTTGTTACTCGGATGTTTTTGAACTGCAACTCCCAGAAACCCCAGTCAGCACAGTTGGTGGTGAAGGCTTCTGAGAGTTGCAGTCCAAAACTCCTGAGTAACCCAAGGTTAACCAGTGGCCTAAGGGATATGTAGTCTTCCAAAGACTCCTGAAATCTTAGTATAGTAACTGGGCTTCTTGGAAACAACATGCCCCCTTTCTTGGGACACAGCTGAGCAGGGATTTGGGGAAATATTCAGACACGCTTAATGTGATCAAGAGTTCTCACTACATTTGAATTTCAGTTGGAGTGAGGGGAATGGAAAGCATTCTGTTTTGTTGTTGCTGTTGTTTTAGGAAAAGGCCCATTTTGAATTGAATGTGGCAGAGTTTGCCCATCATTTGTAAAGACAAAAAGAAGAGAAAGAGAGAGAAATAAATTTACTTTGATAGGAGGTGGGTTGACAGGAGGTGGCGTGAAATGCCTACCTCAGCTACAGAGCAGAAGGGGCAGCAAATCAGGCTCCATCACCACTACGGTATACCTCTGCCCAATGAGTTTTGTGGAGAGACAGGCTGGCCACAGAAAGCAGCTTTGGCACCTCTCTAGAAAATTGCCGACGTCCAAATGCCTGACTCTGGAAGCTTCCGCCTCAGAAAGGGGTGTTATGAGAGAGGTGTCCCGAGGACCACCAGCCTTCTCCATCATCACCTCTCTCCTGCAAGGCCTTATTCTGAGGAGGAACCTCTCAAGCTGAGGCATTTGGGGCCTCAGCTGCACCCTAGGGAGCAAGCCCACCTGATTTGAGGGGGCAGCAGCTGGATAGGGTGAGTGGGGGCAAATCTCAGCCTCCTCTTTCCGGCGGTAGGATCGCTTGTGTTCCCAACGGAGAGGTGACGGAAACTTTCCTCCTGTTCCCCCTCCTCAGGCATGCTTTGGACATCCGAGAGCACTACGAGCGCAAGTTGGAGCGAGCCAACAATCTCTACATGGAGCTCAACTCCCTCATGTTACAGCTGGAGCTTAAGGAGAAAGAGCTACTCAGGTGAGAAAAAGGCTATTCCCAGTCATCCCCACCAGACATTCTCTATTTGGACTGGGGGGCAACAGTATCTCTCCCCACTAGATCCCTCTGAGGGAAGGCAGGCACCAACCCAAAATTTTCTGACCCCCTTTAGGAAGGGATGGATACGTCGAAGTCAGTTCCACTCCGTTTCTCGTTTTGCCCATATCTGGTGTTCACTCATTGTAAGTCACACCTGGATTGGCCCAAGCGTGAGAGTGAACAGAGAAAGTGCTTTAATCAGCCTTGGAGCACCCTTGGGTGGAAACGCAAGATCTATAGTTAACAAGTCAGGAAGTTATCCGAAGAAGCTGCTTTTCGTATCTCGGATTCTGTCTTGGTGCTGCCTGTGTTCTGCATCTTCTCGTTCTCCTCCATAGGCGGGAGCAAGCTCTGGAGAAGAAGTACCCAGGGCTCTTCAAGCACCACCCATCACGGAGCCTCCTACATGGCAACACGGTGGAAAAGCTGATCAAGAAGAGGAATGTGCCTCAAAAGCTCTCTCCACACAGCAAGAGGTGAAGAGGGGCAGGGGAAGGCCTATGGAGGAGCCACCCAAAGGGGATCCAGGCAGGCCTGGGGAATCTTTGGCTTTCCAGACGAGTGGGTTTGGGTGGTTTTTCTTTCTTTCCAACTACAGCTCTCACAGTCTTCTACGCTCACCATACCATCTGGGACTTCTGGGAACTGAAGTTCAATACACCGAGAGGGCCAAAGATTCCCTAGAATGAGGACTTGACACAGCATGGGGGACCGCCCTGGGCCACACCATTGTGTAGCCCTATAAAACTGCCTGAAAATAAAGAGGCGAGGCACTGAGTGATAACACAGAGAAGGGAAAGACTGCAGGTCTCCCCTGCCAAGACTGGGTGTCACACAAGTTGGCCATTCTTTCTGATAAAGTATATTCTGTATATAGGGCAAGGGGATGTCCATCTATGAGACATTTTACCTGCAATTCTAAATAGTGGAGTGAGGCAAAAGCTGTACCATGAGGTTTTGCTGGCCGTGTAGTTTCGCTCTTTCCGTTTTCTGGCAAGAGAGGTTTAACATGGGCCCATCGTGGAGCAAAGGACATGAGCAGCACGTAGGGTGCTGTTAGGTATTTACACACAATCTGAATTCTGTTGGTCAGCCTTCCCCCAGCTGGTGCCCTCTAGATATTTGGATCTGTGCTTAACAGAGGGACTTGGGCGTTTGTAGTCCAGAGCATTTTGAGTGTGTCAGTCTGGGGACAACTACCTAAGTACAACCTCTGCAAACACTCTTGCGTTGAGGGTGGAGAAAGAAAGCACTTTCTCCTTGCAGGTGGTGAGAGAAACATGGCTGAGCTATTCATGTCCCAGATAGCTTCCAAATTTCCTGCATTTGGTACATCATAATAATCGTGATCATAGCAAGGTGATGACGAATCATGACAGTAATATTTATTTGTTTATTTTGGACTTTGTAGCCCACTATTTCTCCCAGAAGTTCAGGGTGGCTAACATTTACAAATAAATCAAAACAATAAACAGTTAATCAAAAAATCTAGTAACACAGCATGAGGCAAGCAAGGCAAGCCAGAGGCAAGAAGACCAGGACCAGCACTGGGTGCTGATATAATTAAGGGCCAATCTGAAATGCAGTTGTGTTTTAAAGGCCAAATGGGAAGGCAGGCCTCATTGCTGTGGCGAGCAACAGCTTCCCTCACGGACAGTTGCTGGGGCTCGGAATTACTGTCCTTCTTTACTGCAGGCCTGACATCCTGAAGACAGAGGTGATCATGGACCCCACCCTGCCACAGCTGGCCATCCCCGTGTGCCAGAAAGGACCCCCCTCCCCTGGGCGCAGTCGTCGGGCAAAGTCACGCTACCGCAAAGTCAGCACCCGGGGCAGTTGTGGGGAGCTGGTGGAGCCAGGGGGAGCGAAGCGCCTGGAGTCCTGCACCGCCCTCCGGGGCCTTCAGCACGACCTCCTGCTGCGTAAGATGTCGTCTTCCAGCCCGGACCTCATCTCCACCACTCTGGGAGCTGAGGGCCGCAAGGGAGCGGCTGGGCCCGAATCCCCGCCGGCAGAGCAGCCCCGCAGCGAAACACCGAGCGAAGATACTGCCTCTGTGCCATGTTCTAGCAGCCCTGAGTCACCCTCTTCCCGGCAGGGCGCGGTTGGGCCATCAGGGAAGGCGAGGCTGCAGCCGGGAGAGGAAGCCGAGCGCGAACAAGGACGGAGCAGCCGGGCAGGGGGAGCCACGCCACAGGCCCAGCACCTCACACCAGCGGCACTGTTGTATCGTGCAGCTGTCACTCGGAGCCAGGTAAGCCAAAAAATGGAGTGTGGAGGAGGAGGAGGAGGAGGAGGAGGAGGCATCCTTCAGTCTCAAGAGACTATGGATACGTGGTCTGAATAGAGGTCTTGCAAAGGAGGCCTACCTACCTACTTACCTACCTACCATCCTTCCTTCCTCCCTCCCTCCCCCATCCCTTTTCTTTGTTTGCAAATATCTAGGTAATGCCTAATATCCTCTTTGAAGCATGAGGTGGAACTTGAGCTTACAAAAGCTACTTTTTTTGGTAATGTTACTTTCTGTAGTCCAGAAAATAATTTTTCCAAGTTCTCAATGGAACAGAACAAGATTCCCCGAGTTCAAGGAGGAGGAGGAGGCCACTCCAGTACCCTAGGTCACTTCTCTGCTCCGCATAGCTCTGACAAGCGGTCACAAATGATATATGATGGGCAGTCACTGTGGATGTTAATGCAACCCTCCAGTTGCCACTGATTATCTTATCTCCGTCATATCCACTTGAGGATGTGCAGCAGACTTCTGTTTATTTGTTTGTTAGTTGAACAGACTCTTCATTGTGACTAACGTTCAATGATACTTTTCCAAAGTGATTGACAATACAAAACCAATCATAACAACTTCACAAAAGCAGTCCAAAGAAAAATGAAACAGTAGAACTGAAACTAGTGATCCAGACAAACTTTGAAATATTATGGACACGGAGACTAAACAGAGTGCTTTGCACGGGATGATTGGAACAGACAAGAGAGAGTGAAATGTGTCTTGAGGCTGACTGTTTGTCTGAACTCTTTGGAGGTTTATTTCTGTGTTAATGCTCTTTGTGTGACTGTAGCTGAGAGAGGGGTTACGTCTGAGAGAAAGTGAGTAATTGTCTTGGTTGGGGGATGAACTAGCTGCAACCAGTTTATACCCTGTTTCCCCGAAAATAAGACCTAACCTGAAAATAAGCCCTAGTCTGATTTTTCAAGATGCTCGTAATATAAGCCCTACCCCGAAAATAAGCCCCATTTAAGTGAAACCCCGCTCCTCCACCCTTATGCAGCAACCAGAAGAAGATGACATGGCTGTATTTGAATAAGTGTAGATGGTTGTACATGAAAAAAAATAAAACATCCCCTGAAAATAAGCCCTAATGAGTTTTTTTGGAGAAAAAATTAATATAAGGCCCTGTCTTATTTTCGGGGAAACGCAGTAGCTCTACTCAGTGTCCTCATGAGTTCATAACCAGGGAGAATAAGCAGGGCATTTTACGTAGACCTTTGGTGGGGGAGCCTGAGTGCTGTGTCACGGTTCACAATTGGGCAAGAGAAATGAGTGTTGAAGAAGTAGCTGCAGTGACCCGCAACACCCGTGGTGTGTTTGTCTTCCTGCCTAAAGCTGTAGGAGGCTACATCTGCACAAAGTGGAAGTCAGGAGCCCGACTGGAATGAAAAGATACAGCAGTTCAAAGCCCACCTCTCCACAAGGCATCTCAGGGGGCAAAATGAAGCCTTTCTGGATGGAGCTAAGAAGACTGTTCTTGAGGAGCCAGGGTTCAAACATACCTTCAAGAAAGAAGAAGAATGCCACATGCAAGAGGCAAGAATGTGGAGGAATGTGACACCGAAAATACGGACTGTCTCTAGAGCTAGAGATTCACTGTCAGGCCTTCTCCATGGACAGTCATTTTGAGCTGCTGGAAGAGGGGCGGGAGCCCCAGCCCCTCTCCACTGACGACCATTTAGAGACATTGGACACAAGGACAACAGTCTCACACCCTCTCCATGGAGGGTGATTTAGAGCTGCTGGAAGAGGGACAGCAGAGAGCATAGAAGCAACTGTGGAAGAGGATGCAGTGGGAAGAATTGTAGCCCCATCTTTGCAGTCCTTCTGCAAGCAGGTGAAGATCTTTCTCTTTAGGCAGGCTTTCCCTCCATGACTGTCTGTCTAACAGAGACTGTTAAATGGACTGTTGTGCCTTGTTGCTTTGAACGTGTTTTGGTGTTAATTTTGTTTACCATTTTTGGTATGGTAATTGTTTGATCCTTTTTTAATATTTGCATACTATTTTTTTGCATCTAAATATTTACTTTTAATAATGTAAGCTGCCTTGGATCCTCTTTAAGGAGAAAGGTGGGGTAAAAACATTTTAAATAAAATAAATAAGAGTTCCTATAGAGGAGGTGACAGGGAGACAGGCACTGGAAACAAATATGTAAGTGAAGCATGAGAACCTGGTACAAGGACCTACTAGTGGAGGAGAAAGGACAACAATGAAGCAGCAGGAGGGAAAGACACATGGATTCATATGTCTCTACCCCAGTGCACAGAGCAAGAGGAACAAACTAGATGAGCTTGAATTCTCAACCCAGGAAGGCAAATACTGTACAATTTAATAGGTGTTACAAAATTCTAGTGGGATGAGACTCATGAGTGGAATGTACAGATTGAAGTTTATTATTCAGAAGGAATATATAACAGGAAGGGGGGGAAGTAGCACTGTATGTAAAAGATATGCACAACTGTGGTGTGGTCCAAGTGTTGGATCATGAAACACTGATGTAGAGCATGTGGATTGAATTCAAAGGAGACAGGAACAACAGTGACACTGTTGTGGGGAGGCTGCTACAGACCAGACAGGGGATTTATATGATGCCTTCCTGGATCAGATTACAAAATATTGAAAGAGGAGAGACATAATAATAACTGGAGACTTCAACTACCTTCATATGTGTCAAGACTCTAAAGTCCAACAAAATCCCCACTTGCCTTTCTGACAACTTCTAGAAGGTGGTGAAAGAAGCTGAGCTGTCCTCACTAACAGGAAAGAAGAGGTCAAGAAGGTGGAAACAGTGGGAACTTTGAGTAGAACTGGCCATTCCCTCCTCTAATTCATTATACTGAGTGAAAGAAACACTAAGAATGGCATAACAGGTGCTCTGGACTTTAGGAAAGCTGATTTCAGTAAATTTAAGGAAACACTGGGCCCTATTTTGTGGTCAGAAATACTGTCCCTGATGGATGGGGGCTTCTTAAGGGCAAGATACTAAAGGCAAAATCACAACCAACTTCTATGAGGGGAAAAAAGTGGGAGACACCTGAAGAAGCAAGAGTTACCTTGTAAGGAGCTTTTCAGATAAGCTAAGATTTAAAAGGGGTATTGTGTAAGTAACAGAAAAAGGGAGCGGATCACTAAGCCAATAATTGTAGAGAAAAGGTGATGAAAACAAAAGCTCAAAATGAGCTCAGGCATTTGAGACAGGTTAAAAACAAATTTGCAGATGGCATCAAATTGAGAAAAGAGTTTTCAGCTATTTTTGAAGCAAGAGGAAGAACAAGAAAAGGGTAGCTCCACTGTGAAGAGGGAATGGAGAAATGGTAATGGAGGAGAGAGAAAAGGCAGAACTCCTGAATACTTGATTTGCCTCAGTCTTCTCCCAAAAAAGAAAGCAGTACTCAACCTAGTGCAGGTAGAATAAAGGTAGAAGTGAGACTGCTACCAAGGAGAGGCAAAGAAGTGGCTGCTTTAAACTAATTTGAGTCTCTTGGGTGAGATTAACTGCATCCCTAGGGTATTAAAGGGATTTACTGGTGCAATCTAGGAGACTTGCTTGTAGTATTTCAGAATTTTTGGAGAACAAATGAGCTCTCTGAGGACTGGAGGTGGGCAATGTCATCCTTATTTTGCAAAAAGGGAAGAAAAAAGACCCAGGGAAATATCAACTAAACAGCGTGACATCAATACCAGAGAAGGTTCTGGACAAAGTCTCTAAATTATATTCTCACAGCTAAGCTAGTAAACAGTGAGATTTAAAAATGCTATTCATAGGTAGATTTGTTGCTGGCTGACAGACCATACCCAAATGATGCTCATCGGTGGTTCCTCATCATTGTGGAGAAAAGTGACAGATAAAGTACAGAAAGTGGCAACATCTTTATAAGTGACTGGGATGAGGACATGGAAGGGATCATCATCAAATTTGCAAATGACACCAAATGGAGAAGCCTAGCTAATACTCCAGAAGACAGAATTAAGATTCAAGAGAACCTAAACAGATTGGAGGAACTAGGCCAAAACTAAGAAAATTAATTTCAACAGGGGGGAAAAAGTAAAGTACTACATTTAGGAGAGAGAAACCAGATCACAACTATAAGATGGACTGCAGCTGATATAAAAAGTGAATGCAATACTCATTTGCATCAACAGAAGGAATAGTGTCCAGATCAAGAGAAGTAAATAGTACCACACTGTTCTGCTTTATTCAAACCTTATCTGGAATACTGTGAATAGTTCTGGTTACCACAGTTTAAGGACACCAGCAGTCTGGCATTTGTGCAGAGGAGAGTTGACCAGATGGCCGAAAGTCTGGAAACCAAATCCTGCGAGAAAGAACTGAGGGAGCAGAGTGTGCACTTTCATTTCTGTTCTGCAGCTTTAGCTTGATTCAGTTGTGGAGCTGTCATACACAACAAGAACTCACCAGAATTGTCTCCTCCATTATCCCTTCAATCATGGAAACAACATGGTCTGAAGAAGGGGAGGCTGCTATGCCCAGGTATCCTCTCTCTGTGAAACCCCATTCTGAGTGGGGCTGGCTCCTGCTGTTCACCCTCTTTAGTTTCCATGATTAAAGCAGCAACAGAGGGGGCAGAGCTAGTTCATCACATGGGGGGCATCACATACAAACTGGAAAACTGAATAGGGCTTTTGCCATTTTAACTTGGCTCCTTCTTATTTTGAGAGCATTCTGTGCAGATCCCATTCATTTATCTAACCCTCACAGTTTTATTTAGCATTTCAACGTCCGTTTATCCCAAGCATTAATAATTGTACTGGTTTAGTTGTGGGCTTTGTTATTTTGAGCTGTGGCTCAAATCCTGTTGCTTATGTGATCACAGAAGAGCAATGGCACAGGTATTCATCCCTCGTGGCGTGTTCTCTTCTATAGGTTCAACCAAGCACTGATTATACAATCAGGTGCAAGAGAGAGCACACAAAAGACAGCCTGTGTGAGGCAAAAAAAATTGCTTCTGTGCCTCTGGATTGTCTTAATAGGATTTCAGCCTATGCCGTTGGATCCTTTTGTGTTCTACGTAGCAGCCTTAGAAGTAAGGGATGTTGTCAGTGGCAAAGTCTAGCTTTTCTGGAGGCAGCATCTGATGTCCCTCCTTGCAGAATGTTCTTTCCTCCGATATAGAACAAACACAGGCCTGACTTGGATCCTGATGGAAAGTCACTGCTCATCCCTACATTTCAAAGAGCCCTCTGATGGATCCAGACCTGCTGCACCTGGCTTTTCTCCTCCACAGAAAAGAAAGTACATGGCATACTTGAAAGCTCAGCCTGCATGCATGCTTCTAGGTTCTGACCACAGAACCGGGTACCAGCTACAAGCTGTGGAATCCTGAGATGAAACTACCTCTTCCTGGACAATGTGGGTTCCTTTCCTCCCACTTTTCCAATACGTTTTAAAAAGCTTGGTTCCCTCTTATTGCTTTTGTTGCAGGGTGTTGGTGTTGGTGGTATTGTGGTGGTGTAATCCCCAGGGTCATGCTGGAATGAAGGCAGAGCTTTGGATGCTGTGGATTCACAGTCTCTCCCGGTACATCCCCAGCATGCCTTCTTTTCTGCCAGTGTTCCAGGATCAGATGAAACTGGCCGCACACCTTTCTGAAGTCTCTGGGTCATGAGAAGGAAATCTATTTGGAGATTTGCTCTCAGAGTGAAATCCAAAAACAATTCCTCTGGCCGAAATCCAATTGTGAATCCCAGCCATTGATACATTCCATTGATTCAATGGGTTTACTCTAGTTGGGTACAAGAGTTGGATTCAGGGCCTGTGTCATTCCTGCCATAACCTCCCAGGGGCCAGAGCACTGCAGCCTAAATTGAGGAAATTGTGTAAAGCAAGCCAATATGCGAGCACCACTCAGAAGCAACATTTCAAGGTATTTTGGCATTGTAACTTCAAGGCTTAAGGGGTCCGTTTCAGAAATGAAATACTTGTCCATTAAACAGTGTTAGGAATCTTATATACTTTCTGCCCCCACATACACACACAACAAGCATTTGAGAGCCAAATGTATTTTATTACTTGTTTTATTTATAGGCTGCCTTTCTCTAGGGGGACCCAAGGCAGCTCACACTATTAAAAAGGAACAGAATTTAAAACATAATAAGTTAAACATTTAAAAAACAATTAAGCGACATGCTCATTAAAATACAGGTGAATAATTAAAAGCAAGTAAATATTAAAATATGCTCATTAAAATGCAGGTGAATAATTAAAAGCAAAAACTATCTGAACTCGAAGAAGGCCTTCAAGGATTCAGTCATGGTTGTTTAAAACCTGCCTGAAGAGCTGGGTCTTCAGCTGTGGGTGGAAGGATAAAAGGGAAGGGGCCATCCTGAAATGTAGACATTGGAAGAAGCCACATCACCATCTCAGTCTGTGTGCGTGTTTGCCCAGTTAGACATTTGGGATTCTACCAAACAGCTGTTCAGGATGGCACTCAGTGGTGGCTAACGGGGGTGCTATCTGTGCGCTCTTAACGGAGCTGTCTACATTGAACTTCAACACGTCCGCGTGCATGAAGTTTCGGATTTGGGCCTATAAATCTTGCAGCATTAAATATGTTAACAAAGAATCCTAGTTCACCAAATGTTCTTTAAAATAGCTGGCTGATGGTTTGGTTTGTTTTGTTTCCCCCCCTCCCTACACACGTTCAGTCCAACAATGATTATGACATGATTTTTCTTTCTTTCTTGACTTAGAAGCGTGGGGTCTCCTCAGAGGAGGAAGAAGGTGAGGTCGACAGTGAGGTAGAGCTTCCCCTCAGGCAAAGGTGAGTGCTTTTGTAGCTTTGTGCCTTACATTGCTGAACACGTTTAAGATAGCTCAGCGATTTAGGCATCTGACTGAGGAGCCAGAGGTGAGGCATTCATTTCCCTGCTGTGCAACCCAGGGGAGCCAGCCTATGAGTCCTTGGGTCCCAGGATGCCTCCAGAATAAGGGAATGGCAAACCACTTCTGACTGCTTTCTACCTAGAACACCTCGAAAGGGGCCATCATATGTCAGAATTGACTTGACAGCACACAATTACTATTGTTAAGACTGGATAGTTTAGGGCCAGGTCTCTTTGAAAGCCTCTTCGTAAAATCTATCTTGGTGCAATACTTTTGGGCAGTGGTAAAATATAACTGTGGTTGTTTCTTTTCTGCGATGGGCATAGCCAGTATTTGAGAGAGTATTCATCATAATCCAGGTTACCAGATTTTCAGAATGCTGCACAAAGTGGCTAACAAAAACCTTTTAAGCACTGGCTGCCTGTGGGAAAATGTGCTAAATAATACATTGAGTCAACCTAGGGATTTGTCTGTATTTTTCCACTTAAGGGGCATTCATGAACACAGGATAAAGTGCTGGGGAATCTCACATGTGCTGCCTTGAGTTGTGTCATGGAAGAATTGTGGGGTTTAGAGAGATCAAAGGAATCCATACACTTCTTGAAGCCATTTAATATTTGTTGGGTTTGAGCTGCAAAAAGGCTTGTTAACCATTGTTTCCCCTGCCGGGGCATCATGAAAGGTTGATTTCCCCATCGTAATTAAGATACACATGTATAGGAGTGTAATTTTTACACACTTCTGTTAATCTGGATTTTTAGCAACAGCATAGATCAATAATTAGGGGACTGATCACTGAGGTTCCTGTTGACATCTTAGAATCTAGAGGTCATTGTGGAGAGGAGGAGAAGGTATTGTGGAATGGGAGGCTTTGAACTGGAAAGTGTTCATCAAGACCTTTGTCCTTTTCCATGCCCGGCTGCCTTCAGTTAATGGGGCTTAGGATGGGGGGGGGGAACATGCCCTGCCCTCATCCAGCTGCTTCTGGAGGTCAGAATCAACTCTGGGGGGGGGGAGAGGAAGGGATGTATGGAGGGCCCCTTGCCCTCCTTTCCCATCTCAGAGCCAGCTTCATCTGGAGCCCAGAGGATTCTCCTTCTTCCTTCTGCCCTCAGGGGCAGTATCACAGTCATGCCTGCTTTACCTCACTGCTGCCATCTTTATACATACTGTCAGGTTTGACATTGGCTGAGACACTCCACTGCCAGAAGCAACGGATCAGATAGTGCTTCTCTCCCATGTCATGTACTGAAGTTGGTTGGCCTGGAGGTTGAAGCATGTTTCAACACTGGGGATGGACAAGTGTTCTCCAGGACACCAGAGGCGGTAGGCTGGCTAAGGGAGACCAGGACAATTCTGCCACACAGGAGCACAGCCAGGAAGGCCCAGAGGAACAGCTGCCATAGGCTTACCATCCCTCCATTACCTTCATCACTTGAGGCAGCTGCCTCACTCTGCCCAATGATAGAGTTGCTTTCCTAGCCCTCCTTCAGTGTAAGAAGATGTGATCCCCATCCCTAGAGAAACGTAGCCCATGCTTGTCATGTTGCAAAGCTCAGAATCAACAAGGTAAGCCCAGCCAAAGGCCAGATCAGCCACTAATTCAATTTCTACCTGATCTCACCATGCATTGTAATCTGGTCCATCTGTTGCAGTGCTTCCCAACTAGGGGTCCCCATATGTTCTTGGACTGCAAATCCCAGAAGCCCTTGCCAGCACAGATGTTGGTGAAGGCTTCTGGGGGTTGCCGTCCAAGAATGTCTGAGGACCCAAGATTGGAAACTACAGATCTAGGGGGTCTGGCTTGGGTCAGGCTGCTGTGGAGCAGCAGAGGAACTGAGGGAAGCAAATGATTAGAGTGCCATGCGTGCCTTGAGCAGAGTGACTTGTCATATCTCTGGAATGGAGGTGCCTAGCAATCTCCATTGACCAAGTACCATTCCTGGCCTTGCTACCAACTTTCTGTGTAACTCTGCATCCTTCCCTAGCTGTAACAGAGCCCTAGCCACCCATGGTGGACCGAGGGTCTCCATTATTCCTCTCTTATGGACAAAATTCTCTCCCTCCCTTTCCCTCTACCCAGGTGGCCCCAGGCCATGAGCAAACGGCAGTCCCTTTCCACCTTCAGCTCTGAGAACTTCTCCGATGGAGATGGGGAGGAGGGCACTGCCAGTGAGGGCACCACCGCTTCCCATAGCGGGGGCACACCTGACGTGGCCAGTACTAACACGGATGAACGCCTGGACGCCGAACGCTCAGACGACGACATCCTGGGGCATTCCGACGGGCTGTCCGAAAAGGAGGCAGCCATTCGGCTCGTCAAACGCCAACTCAGCACTGAGCAGAATGCGGCAGAGGTGGGTGCAGGATAAGAAGGAGGTAGAGTCTGCGGGGCCCCAGGACATTAGGTCCCAGGGCCAACATGGCCAGTGGGGAATTCTGAGACCTGTCATTTTAAAAAAGAAAAAGAACTTTGTTGTGTTCTGGAATGGTAGCTGGGGGTGTTCAGATGCCTTTGAGGTGACCTGCCCTACATTCCTCCAGGCCTGCTGCCTCTGTTGCTTGCTTCCTGATTATTATTCACATGGACATCCAATAGAGGTCAGCAACTTGCAGATATTCTCAGACTGCCACTCCCATCCATCCTGGCCAGTGTAACCAGTACTGAGGATTGCTGGGAGTTGTACTCCAGCAACATCGAGCATGCCACAAATTGTAAGCTCATGGGGGGCAGCTCCTGAAAGGGATCGATTTTTTTTGTTTGTTTGTTTGTTTTAGGATTTATCCTTTCCTCAGGCTTAGGGGGCTGCAGAGAAAGATTTTTAAAATGTATGGGCTATTTCTGGTAAAAAAATAAAAAAATAAAAATTCCAAATCAAAGAGAGAACAAAGTCAGGTTTCTGGTGACCAAGAAGCCTGACATTTATACACCATCACTTCCAGCAGTAGTAAAATAAATTATGCTGTAGAAAGCAACCGAGTGGCAAAAGTGCTTTCTCTGCATAATGTATAAGGGTCTGTTTTCAGTTTTTAAATCTCAAAATACTAAGAGGCTTGGGTTTGAGTCCCCTTCTTAGCCATGGAAACTCACGGAGGGTGTGGAACTGGTAAAAACACTCCTTAAATATCTCACTTACCTTGAAAGCCCCTATTAGGGTTGCTGTTAAGTGGGTCCTGGAGTCCTCTCCCTCACCACCAAATTCAAAGCAAAATGTGACCAAATGTTTGAATGCCAGAGCCATGCCAGATGAGACCAGAGACCCCTCTTGTCCTGGCTTCTGTTTCCATAAAGATGGATCATCCTCCGTGAGGCCCAGAAACAGGGCGTTACAGCGCCCCCTATCCTTCTGCTCACATCCCTCGGAGGGAGGCATTCTGCTTCCCATACAAGATACAACCTTTAGGACAAGTAGTGACTGGTTTTGGTTTTAATTGCTTGTAAACCACCCAGAATCATGCTTTGGCACTAATGGGACAGTGTATAAATTAAAGTCAGTCAATGGTTGTTGTGGGCTTTTCGGGCTCTAAAGTCAGTCAGTCAGTCAATACACACACACACACACACACACACACACACACACACACACACACACACACACACACACACACACACACACCCACACACACACACACTCCACTCAAGTTCCCCTTCTTAGATGTCCATGTGTTGGCGACCAGTGGTAGCAAATTTCCTTTCCACTGTACAGTACATGGTACGCCTTACACACACCCCTCCCCATTGACTTGTATTCCTCGTACAGCCCTTCTCCTGCAAGATTTTTCCCAGGAACAGGTGCTTTCACTTTCTCTCTCTCTTTTTTCCAACTCCATTCCCAGGACCCTGCTGTCTATGAGGATTCGGACTGCGACAGTGCCGAACTGGACCACTCAGGCAGCGGGGAGGGGCAGAGACTTCCGGACATACCCAATTTGTGATCATCACGTCTGCCCAACTTTCCTCCCTTTCATGGGTTGTACAGATAACCTGCCCTTCTCTCTGCCTCCTTGCACCACCACCTCCTCCCCTCCCCAGATATTTATATAAATAATCTATAAAGCTCTATATAAATCTATATTATCTCATAATCTCTGGAAGGAGAGCCAGCACGCCTCGTCGTTTCCGCCGCTGCCGCCACCGCCCTCACTTCTTGTTCCTGTGTTCTCTTGGACTGGCTGGGGGTGTGTGGTTTGCTGAGGGTCCCTCGCACACATCAGGGCTTGCTGTTTTCCCTTTGGACACCTGGAGGCAACCCCACTCTTGCCCACAAACTTGTGCGGTTGGCCCTGCAACTCGGCAGGAAGGCGTGCCATCGACCCCTAGGCAGGAATCGACTCCTCCCATTCTGCTTCCTCTCAAGCCCTGGACATGGCAAGAGCCAGCCAAGGACCAACCAGCTCCAGCAAAGCCCGATGAGAGCCATCAGTGGTCCCAAGGGGCAAAGATGCAGAAAGAACACGTTGGTTTGGGAAGCCATGCTCTGGTCCACCAAAGGAAGCAGCGAGATGCACCTGTCGAAGGTGCTCTGAAGGCCCTTCCGCAACATCCGGGCTGGAGGGATGTGCGTCCCGGGCACCAGCCAGTCTCTTGAGATGGACTCATTGCATGTTTGGGCCACAGTCAGCACGGAAACTCCCCGCCCCCCCACAAAACCAAAGCTTGAAAATCAGTTGTTTCCACACCCCAAGTGTAACCCCTTCCTAGAATTAACAAACCAAAGCTTAAGTGCAGAAAAACCAACTGTTCTCAACACAGAGAGAGGCGCATGCTCCTGTTTTTGGCAAGTACTTTCAGAGCCCAATAACTACAGTATCTGGTCCCTTCCAGCACCCACTCACCTGTATGTCCCCTACACAAACACCCACCCACCCACAATGTGGCTCATCCCCTATTTGGGGGGGTTTTCTGCTGTCTGCTGGCACCAACATGCACTGCACTTTTTAAATTTTATGTTATGCTATTTATTATTTTATAATGAGGAATGTTTACATTTGCACTTAAATGTGTGTCGCTGTCAGGTGGTTTTGTGTAAAGGGAGGAGTAGGGCAGGGCGGAAGAGCCAGGGGCTCAAGGGAGCAGGAGAGGAAGTATGCGAGGGGCAGGAAGCAGGGGGCCAGGATTTGCCCTGCAAGCCTGCTGCTGCCCAATCATTTATGACGTTTAAAAGGAGAAAGGGGAGTTCGTAGCGTTTTACTCTTGGGAGGGAGAACAAAGTACCCTTTCTTCTTGGTTTCTCAGGTGAAGGTCTCGGCTTGAAGAAAGATTCCCCACCCCCCACCCCTTACAAATATATTTGTTGCTTATTTGTGTTTGATAAACCCCAGGGATGCCAGGGTTTAGGTCAGGTTAAGTGCGGGAATGAATGGATGGACAGGGAAAGAACATCAAACCATCCTTGCCCCAGTGCAGAAAGGAAATCTGGTGGGCTGAGCTGGGCTAGGGTGTGAGCAGGGTCCTCAGACATGAATTCTGGGATCAGTGTAGGTCCTCTCCTGTTGTGATAAATCAGTAAGTTGGACTTGAGCCCCTGGAAAAATGACTCCTTCGAAACTCTTCAGTTCCCCCAAAGGAAGTTGAACTGGTTGAACTCAGAAGGAGTTGTCGGTGCTCTTTTCCACTCTTTGGTAGGACGAGTCCTGGCTTGCACTGGACTCCTCCCTTCTGGTCTGGTGGAGCTCCAGTTTTGATGTTTGCACCTGTCAGAAGCAGAGATGGGCAACTTCAAAGGGTACAGTCTTCCAACCCCTTCCTGGCTGGTTATAGGCCACCCTCACCTTCCTGGGCAGACTGAGAAGCAACCAAAAGGTATCAGCCAGTATTGATGGGAGTTGGAGAGGGGGGACTCTAGCTCCTCATCCCTGTTCAGGTGCCCAACCTAGCCTTGCTAGAAGGTAACAGCTCACGTTATCAGGCCGAAAAAGCTGGGACTTAAACCCACTAGGTGGGCTGATTTCAGATCTGTATAGCAGCTTATTTATTAACATCTGCCAAGGACCTCCTTTCCTCTCTCCCTCTCTCCAACTATTTATTCACATTTTCCAGTACTGTAGTGAGTCCAAGGGCTGTGAAAAAAAAGATGTGTTCCACCTTTATCCCTTGGTGCGTGCCCTCTGACTGTCATGTTAAGACCCCCATGGATCAGTGGGAGGGATGCCCTGGTGCTAATTCTTTTCAGGCCACAATGGGTAAGGGTTGCCTTAGATGCTGTCCCATAGACAGCATAGTCTACATTCTGATCTGTAACCAGAGACACCCCCTACTCAGTGGAAGGGGAATGTATCAGCTGTGGGAGATAACCGTGAGCAAGCTTTGTGGTGGTGCTACACTCTACTTTTTAGTAAACATTGTTCAAGACATATTCAATCCACCAGAGATCAGGTAAGATAGTCATGGGTAGATGGGTGAGCTGCCTTCTCATCCGGGAAATCCAGATGCCACCAGTCATGATTGATAGTGCTAGATCAGAAAGATTATGTTTTAAGACAGGCTACAGCCTCATCGAAGTCCTACTTTTTGTCCTCTGCCAAGTTTGGGTGCTGCTGCTGAAGTTATGTAATGCTCACTGAGAAATGTCTCCTAATATCCCAAACCCAGGTCTACCACTACACTCCTTTTGCTTAGGGGAGCTGCAGTAAACTATCTTTTTACTACACCACTAACTCTTTAGGTAAGCTAACAGGCCCAACCAGCCAGGCCTCTCCTCTACTGTACTGCTAAGTCCAAGGAAGACCTGCATGTGGCATTTTTGCTCTCTGCAAACCTCTATGTATGCCTGTACAACGTGGCTTTGCCATGCAGAGTGAACGTTATGCAACATCTCACATCTTGTAAAATCCTAGCTTTTGTTGCTGGGAAAGGGAAGGAGACACTTTTAAAAACCAAAGGTTTGTAGAGAAATGAAGGGAAAGAAAACTGTGAGAGTGAGGTGGATTGGTAGTTCTAACAAGGTCAGAAACAGACTCTCTAAACAAGCCACCATAGGTGACTGAACCTTTAGCACGCTCTTAACTATTCTCTGCAATTAGTGGAGAGAAAAGGGTCTCTAATATGTACTTCTGATCCCAAATGGCAAAAAGGGGGTGGAGGTGATGGTGGGCATCAGTCACACATCACCAATATCTGTGTGGCCTTTTCTTAACCTGCCAGCATAGCTATGATGTGTAGAGAACCAAGTTCCTGCTCAACCAGACAGCCTAAGCAGGGAGTGAAAATCTATAGCATGGCGTAGCCTGAAGAACGGGCCTTACTACGATCCCTTGAGTCTTCTGAGACCATTTCCACCAGCCAAGTGAAAGCAGTCAAGTCAACTAGGAAGCCCAGGAAAAGTGGTTTCGTCTTCCAGGCCTGGGCTCAGTTACAGGCTATTTCAACAGACTGGGGGAGGGGGTAGAAAAAAGCTGATTAATTCCCAACAGGCCAGAGGAAGAGCGTTGAATCTGCCAACTCTGCAGGAGGGGCACCAGATGTAGCCAAGCCAAAAGGAGTTGCCATCAGTTTCCAGCAGGTTGTCCTTCAATACCACAAAGCTAGTCCAGCCACAGTTGCAGACTTCTCCAAGACACACCCTGGGCAACAAGCAGAGGGATGCTAGCAGCTCCCACATGAGAGCATTCTGCCAGTTTATTGAGCAGGGAGAGAGATTTCACTAGAGCTGGAGGAAAGACAAGACAAAAGGGGGGGTGGGGTGGGATTTGCAGTTGCATCTGCCGATGGAACAGCAGGACAATCAAAACAACTCCCACCATGCTGTGACTCAAGAGCCTTGATGGCTGTTGCTAATAAATGTTAGACCTACCTTTTCCTGAAGGCATGTTGCAGGGCAGTAATCAGTTGTATAAATTCTTCCATTAAAACTCAATTAAAGCCAAACATAATTTTAAAAACCATTCAACACTTTTTGAATAGGTCCTCACTGGTCCCTCTCAACTAGTCCAAATGGAATAAATAAAACAATACCCATATGTAGACATATTAGCAAATAGTGGCCTTGGCATTTGGGCAATGAGGGTGCAATGACAAAACCCTGCAGCAAAGTAACACAGAACCATGACTTGGGGTTAGAGCAAACTTCATACAATCCCAAGATCAAGCACTGGCACTTCTAGTTAAAGAATTCTGAGTAACACAGCAAGGAAAGACCAATGTTTTGGGGAGAGCTGCTGTTAGTCAAAGGAGCTAGTCCTAAAACAGTTGGTCTGACAGCAAAATCTGCACTGATTGATTGGGGAGAAAGGTCACTTCATTTGACAGCTAAACTATCATTTACCCAAACTCTGCTCAACAGATGAAGAAAGTGCTTCTTATAAATGGCACATTCTTTACTGAAAGCCCACCTCCTTTGTAGATGGTAGTTCTTCTGGATCTGTTTGATGGCTAAGCCCCTCTAGCAATACTAAGCTTAACATCAACCCTTAAGGTCTCATTAGACTTGTCATGGCTACATCTGCACCCTGGCCCTCACAATCAAAAATTTCACAGAAGCTCACCCTGGAAAGGTTGCCCTGCACAGCAAGCATGGTACACAGCCCCATCCCTGACAACTCCCAGCTCAGTTTGTCATTCTTCCTGTGGAAGGCAAGTTCTCAGTCCCTTAGGTGAAGCCATACATCCTATCACACTTTGGATCCCTGTGTCCTCTACACTTGTTTTAACATCTACCCTTGTAAAATAGATCATGTCTGTATGGTAATAACATTGCTAGATGAGTTAATGGCACTGCAGATTTCAATTAAAGATCATTTTGTATTCAATACTGGTGTCCTCTTCATGTAGCTTTGCAGTTTGCTCAGACTTCAAAACACATGTTGTTGGGGACCGGACAGAGGGGTGAGTGGGTTGTGTATACTAAAGAAAAATAAGACTGTCCAAGAGATGTAAAGGGAGATGTTTAATTTCTGCTCACTATAGCCAAGGTTCCTAATTTCAATTGTCCTGTATTAAGTTTGCATGGCTATAAAGATATGCCTGAAGCAAAGGTGATGCCAACTACAATACTGGAAATTAGAGGACTGATTAGGATGACAGGGAATAGGAAGTTCCAGCCAATTCCTAAGGCAGTTCAGTAGCTGGAAAGTACCAGGACTAAAGTCTACAATATTCCGTGAGTCCTGGCTCTATCTAACAGTGACACTGACACCTTTTGAAATGCTTTCCTGTTATATTTTGGATCTCATCAATGATGTGTGCAAAATATGCTTAACCTGTTATTAACACAGATTTTTCCGCAGGTTCAACCTAAGAAGTCCACTACACTGTTTAGCACCATTGTTGAAGACAGGGAGTTTAGCAAGGAATTCATCTCAGATAGTCCAAGGGGGTGTAAACTTGTGCTTTTCTCCTGCTTGTCCACCCTGACCCAACTGCATGAAGCCTAATTGGATCCAAGCACATTTTGCCAAAGCTTTAGCAAAGAGAGGGAAAAAGCTTCAAGAGTGCCAGTGGGAGAACAAACCTAGTCTTCTGGAGTATCCTGGTCTTTCCTCTACTCTCTTCTGGTGATACTGTATTATAGGCATGGTAGCCCTTTGAGAGGCACCTTATACAGAGAACAATAGGCAGGAAGACTACCAGTCCCATAATGACTTACAGCTTCCAAAGAGCTTAGTCCCTGCCAAGCACTTTGCCTGTTCTGTCTTCATAGATTCAGCAGCATTCACCACCTTGTACAATTACAAACAACCGTGAGAACTATGATTTATTTTCTATAATCCACAGATGTCAAGCTGGGGAAATTTCTATAGACTTCTGGGGACATAGTCCAATAGTCCCATGCCTATGTAACATCCTTACATTGAAAAGAGGAAGAGGAACTGGTCCCTGCTACATTCAAATGAAGAAGCCACGTTTCCATTTGTTGTTCAGTCGTGTCGGACTCTTCGTGACCCCATGGACCAGAGCACGCCAGGCCCTCCTATCTTCCACTGCCTCCCGGAGTAGTGTCAAATTCATTCTGGTAGCTTCGATGACATTGTCCAACCATCTCGTCCTCTGTCGTCCCCTTCTCCTCTTGCCTTCACACTTTCCTAACATCGTCTTTTCCAAGGATCCTTCTCTTCTCATGAGATGGCCAAAGTATTGGAGCCTCAGCTTCAGGATCTGTCCTTCCAGTGAGCACTCAGGGTCGATTTCCTTTAGAATTGATAGGTTTGTTCTCCTTGCAGTCCAGGGGACTCAAGAGCCTCCTCCAGCACCACAATTCAAAAGCATCAGTTCTTTGGCGGTCAGCTTTCTTTATGGTCCAGCTCTCACTTCCATACATCACTTCAGGGAAAACCATAACTTTGACTATTCGGACTTTTGTTGGCAAGGTGATGTCTCTGCTTTTCAAGATGCTGTCAAGGTTTGTCATCGCTTTCCTCCCAAGAAGCAGGCATCTTTTAATTTCGGGGCTGCTGTCTCCATCTGCAGTGATCATGGAGCCCAAGAAAGTAAAATCTGTCACTGCCTCCACATCTTCCCCTTCTATTTCCCAGGAGGTGATGGGAGCAGTGGCCATGA